ACATGATCAGCCGTGGGCTTTGGGCCAAACGAGCTGCAATTAGGAGGCCTGGGTTCAACAAAGAGCACCTCTGTTGGGCTGACCTTTGAGTTCTGATGGGAAACGTTTATCTGGGGAGTTGAACTGGGATGGATCCTGTGTCCGTCTTGGGTCCACTCAGGTCCTCCGGTCCGGCTGCTCGTCACATGCGGTGACCTCCTCGTGAACGATGCGAGCCGTCTGAACCGGGGATCTTTGTTTCAAAGCAGCCCGCTGCGCACCACCGTGTTGACTCCCAGAGTTCCCGGATCAGAACCACGAGGAGTTCTGCTGCAAATCGCACAACAAAGACTTTGTGTTGCTGTTTAGTTGCGCCAACACATTTGGCGTCGATCTGTCCGCGGAGCTGTTTGTGGCGGCGTTTCCAACGGCAACGGGCCGTGTTTGTCCCAGGCGGTTTGGCGTCGGGTCGGGTTCTGACTCTGTTTATTTTTAACAAACCGTTTAAACGCTGCTGTTGGGGAAACGGAGAAGACTTTTTAATGTTTGGTTTAAAATAATAATAAAAAACAACGACCATTCGATGTAGCAGCGAGTTGGAGAAGCTCAGAACAGCTTTAGAAGTTTAAAGAGGAATTATCAACGAGCTTTGTTTTGACGAGGATGATAAAATATGTTAAATATATTAAACGTGGTGTGTCGTGATTTGGTGCTTTTTTTTTTAGCTGTTTGTCAAAACTTTCAGCTCATACGTTTGTTTTTTAAATGACCTGTTTATAACCATTATTCTTATAAAAAATACATTTAGTTACGTTCCTTTAAAAACAAGCTTCAGCACACTGTTAGCTTGTGCTTCTTTTAGCCTTTAGCTCCTTTTTGCTGCCTTTAGCTGGCCCGTTGCTATGTTTAGTTAGCCTTTTGCTATTTGCATCTTCAGCAAATATAGTGTGTAAATTTTTACTGAATTTATAGCACAAAGTTCACCTTTTTACAGGTTGTTGTTGTTGTTGTTGTTGTTGTTGTTGTTGTTGTTGTTGTTGTTTTGTTGTTGTTGTTGTTTTGTTGTTGTTGTTGTTGTTTACCTCTGCATTCTCGCAGCGTTTGGACTGAAACGTTGGTTCAGAACTTGTTTGCTCTGTCTCCCTGTTTTTGTGCCTGCACTGATCCATCAGAACCTGGACTCGGGTCCAGTTTTTGCGTTTGTGTTGGACTCTTGTGAAACCTGATCCCGATCAGAACCGCAGCCCGTTTGTTCTCGTCGACTCTGTTATGTAAGCAGCGTTCTGCAGGTTTCTGTTTGTGCTCTTGAGCTGAACACAAACGGACCTCTGGTTTACTGGAACCGAACCGGTTCTGCTCCGACGCCTGAAACCCGGCCCGGTTTTGACTTTCTGGGAGTTTGACGGTAAAACTGAAGTTTCTTCCAGATCTCCGTTTAACAAAAACCTCCAGGTTCTGGTCCAGTCTTGGTCCACCATCGGGTTTCATCAGAGGGGGGTCAAAGGTCACGAGGTCACTTTGATGAACATTAACCTGTCGGACTCGTGGTTCTGTTGATCTTTGACTGGGTTGTGTCGGGTTCTGTTGCTGAAACTTCAACTATAAATTTTAAAAAACAAATCTGTTTCTCCATTAACGGCATGAAATTTAAAAGTTGATAAGAAGCAGTTAAATAATTGTCGAGGCCGAAACCAACAAAATGTTTTATTGACCTGTTTATTTCACCATCAAACAAAAAAATAAAGTTTTAACTGAACCAAAACTCAAATATTTGTCTGAACACTTTACGTAATTTAAGAACAACTGACAACTTCATTTAGATTTAATTTTTATTTATATTTTGTTTGTTTTAGGTAACTCATAACTTTCAAGGTTTTTATTTTTACATCCAGCTCCTTCATGTTCAGCTTGTTTAAAAAAAGAAAGGTGTTAATTTTTAAAGTGTTGAGTGACAGAAGCTGGACTCCAAGCTCCGCCCCCTAACTGTGATGTTTCTGTTTAAAAAAAAAAAACTAAACCATTTGTTGGTTTTACTTCAACTTTTCAAAGATACCGAGGTAAATAAATGTACCTTGGGTGAGTTAAGAAACCTCAGACCTGAAACGTCGGGGCCGAGTTCTGCTCGGGGTTCTGAAACATGGTTTCAGGGCCTTCGGGTTTTAAAACGGCCCACGGGTTCACGTGAAGTCGGGCTGATTGAATCAGCGCTCGTCACATTCTGATTCCTGGAACGTGACTCGGCGGGCGTGTTGCAGCTCGACTCGGAGCCACAAGTCACCATTTTACAGTTCGGAGAGGCTCCATCCGGGCCAGAGCCAGAACTTCTCAGTCTGTCCCTCTGGAGGAGGCGAGAACAAAAACAGTTGGGAGGTTTCTGTAATCAGGTGCTAATGACCCGCATGCTGTTGAGAAAACGGGTTTTGTGTGTGTGTGTGTGTGTGTGTGGGGGGGGGGGGGTGTCTGTGTGTGTGTGTTTGCTTTTCTTGTCTCCTGGAGACAGAAACTGATGATAGTGGAACAGAAGAGGAGCTGCAGGCCTCGTCGGCCCACCTTGTTGCCGAGAGTCACAGTAAAATGGCCGCCTTTGTTTGACTCCTCTGTGCCGACACAATGACACACACACACACACACACACACACACACACACACACACACACACACCAAGTTAAAAAGCTGAGAGGATTACCTTCACACACAAACACACAGTTGTTTTTAACTCTTGAATCCGTTGAACTCTGGAGGAATTCTCATGATTTTTCACTTTTCTGTCGGCGCTGATTTCAGGTCAGTTTTTGTTCCCGAGAACTAAATGAACTAAAGTTTAGCTCATTAATCGACTCTGCTGGTTAGTTTAGATCTGGGAACTAATCTAACTAAAGTCTAGTTGTTTGCTGACATTGTATTCTTTTACATGTTCTTCCCCAGAAACGGTGTATTCTTTTTTTATTAATTTATTTTCATTCAACCTTTATTTAGACCGGTCAATCCCATTGAGCCTCGAGGACTCCTTTACAAGAGAGACCTGATTTCAACAAAGAAAGATGACAACAATGGACAGTTTTATTGAATAAAACAACAAATGTGAATTCTTGAATCGTGTTCTATAAAATTTTTTTTTTAAAACAATTTATGAACTGAGCAGTTTGCTGCAGTACACGTTTCACCAAAAACTGTAAAATCGTGTCATTCTGGAGGGCCTTTATATTTGATTTATAATCAGAGCTGTGTAGCGGTGTGTAGCAGTGTGTTAGTGTGTAGCGGTGCGTTACGGTGTGTAACAGTGCGTTACAGTGTGTTACAATGTGTTAGTGTGTAGCAGTGTGTAGCAGTGTTACAGTGTGTTAGTGTGTAGCAGTGTGTAGCAGTGTAACAGTGTGTAGCAGTGTAACAGTGTGTAGCAGTGTAACAGTGTGTAACAGTGTGTAGCAGTGTGTAGCAGTGTGTAACAGTGCGTTACAGTGTGTTACAATGTGTTAGTGTGTAGCAGTGTGTAGCAGTGTTACAGTGTGTAGCAGTGTAACAGTGTGTAGCAGTGTAACAGTGTGTAGCAGTGTAACAGTGTGTAGCAGTGTAACAGTGTGTAGC